CAATGTAATATCATGCAACCACAAAATTATTGTAGAGGAAATATTAAATGACATGAAAACATGTCAACACATTTATACTACATTAAGTGAAAATGCAGATTACAGAACCTTTTTGTGAAAAAAATTCCTACAGATAGAAAAAAGAGAATAGTATACAAGAAAATATTAATAGCAGTTATCTCTAGGTGGTGAAATTACAGAGAATTTTCACTTTATTTTCTTCACTGTCTAAATTTTTACAAATAACATTGTTGGATTTTTAATTATAAATAATTTTGCAACAAAAGTTATTTTTAATTATCCTACAGCTATAGGAATGTGATGGATAGAGCTATGGTTGAAAATGTCAAGTACATCTTCTACAGAAACCTCTTGATACTAGTCCGAGTTCTCCAAAATTCTACTTGTTCACATCTTACAATTAATATCTGCTCAATTACACATTAAAAAAAAATGTCTTTTCTCCAGCTTACTTCTGACAAGTAGTTTGGTCACGTTTTCTCTTCAATAAGTTCTCCATTAAATCCCCACCTTCTAAGACCTTGTCCTCTCTCAGACACGCCTCTCCATTAACATAAGCTCAAACCTGTGATTTGGGTCATCTTTGTGAAAGAAAAAGCTTCCAGACATACTGAAATGCTGGCTGCGACAGAAAATCAAATTACCCCTGCCTTATGGTAAATTCTCCTCTTGAGTCATTTACATAGTTCTCTAGAATATTAATGCATATCATGTGTTTGATATCATACTGAAATCTATATTAAAATGTACACATCAGGCAGACAGCCTCTAGAAGCTGAAATCAGCAAGGAATTAGATTTTCCCCTCAAAGCCTCAGAAGGAATGCAGCCCTGCTATTTTGATTTTAGACTTCTGATCTCCAGAACTGTAAGAGAATAATTCTGTTTTAAGCCACTAAAAAGCTACAAAGCAGGGCTTCCCTGGTGGCGCAGTGGTTAAGAATCTGCCTGCCAATGCAGGGGACGCGGGTTCTAGCCCTGGTCCAGGAAGATACCACACGCTGTGGAGCAATTAATCCTGTGCGCCACAACTACTAAGCCTGCGCTATAGAGCCTGAGCGCCACAACTACTAAGCCCATGCGCCTAGAGCCCGTGCTCTGTAACAAAAGAAGCCATCACAATGAGAAGTCTGCGCACCGCAATGAAGAGTAACCCCTGCTCACCGCAACTAGAGAAAGCCCATGCGCAGCAATGAAGACCCAACGCAGCCAAAAATTAAATAAATTTTTTTTAAAAAAGAAAGCTACAAAGCAGCTATCTGGAATACTGGCTTGTAAGAATCATCAACACCTGATGTGTAACATCAATACTCAGTCCATGATAGTGAGTTACAGAGAGAGCAACCATACATCCCAGGCTGCCTGATCAGTCCTGGCTCACACCTGTTTCCCAGTGTAATTATTAGCAGTAGGGCCCTTTCACTCTCAGCCGGCCCAGAGTGCATGGTCAATTATACAGTCAGGTTGATTATAAGCCTCCTCATCTGGAATGCACCTTTGCCTACAAAGGTCAAAGGCAGACAGAAATTTCATTTAGCTACAAGAACTTTATCTTTAGCATCCTGATTCCAGATACAAGAGAATCCAAGGCACATTAAATAATGAATTATTTTTAAGTGTTTGTCGAAAGGCTTTTTTTCAAAACAAGAAAAAAATGTCATCATTAATTATTAGTTGTATTTAATTTGTACCATTTATAAATGTTATAAATGACAGGAGACCATAAGTGTCTAGTTCATTTTCTTGCCATTTTTCTAAATACTGAATTTCAGAGCCCATCACTAGAGATCCAGTTTTGATCAGGACAGTCAACAATCACCCTTCCAGAACACCATTATCAATACATTTTACAATTAACAAGAACTGCGTGATCTCCCCTCCCAAAAGTCTTATTAATGAAATCATTCAAAAACCTGCTCTTGCCCCTGTAAATGTAATATACAGCCTCTAGTCACGCCTTGCACGTAACCATGCATGTTTGGTAAATGATCAGTTTTTCACTTGCACAGTCAATAGTGCCTTGTGCTACTGTGACAAATTCTCACTTGAAAACATTTTTCTTGAAAACTGAAAAATAGAAGTAATTTTGTCTCTTTTTCATTCTGTAAGTGCCCAGAAGGGCTAATTTAGAGACTAATTAGCTGTACATTTCTCAAAATTCTAAGTTACGCATATTATCCTGGCTGAAATTATTTTTAATAACTAAAATGTTTAAAAAATTCGCATTAAAAAAGTTAGTAGTTACGTGAGGTGATGGATGTGCTAAGTAACCATACTGTGGTAATCACTTCACAATATATGTGTACCAAGTCATCACAGTGTATACCTTACAGCTACATAAGGGTGTATGCCAATTCTATGTAAATAAAGCCGGAAGGGCAGACAAAAAAGGCTGCCTATTTTGGTAAAATGTTACAAATGTTTTTTATCAGATAAAACATACAAAATAATTTAATTAATTTAAGTGTGGTGCCAGTGATGACCGTGATTTTTCCTAAAGACAGAAAGGTAAAAACACTCCTAAAATATCCATGAATCTTTGACTTGTGGATGGTTACTACCCATGGAATACCAACTAGTCTTGATAAAAAATCATTTTGATTTCTGACCTGGTTGTAAATGTTAACCGAAATTTTAATATAATTTACTATTTAAAAATACTCACTGTGTTCCTTTGTTGGTTGGCAAACTAGCCGCCATATGCTCAGGGCTAGGAGAGCTGAGGAAAGAGGCAGCCGCTGCAGGTTGGGAGGTGGCTGGTTTAATAAGACAGGGAACTCACAAACGAGGCTTGGCGGTGGCAGCCGCAAGACGAGGGCGTGTCCCCGCCCGCCAGCCAGAATCTTCAAAGTTTATATAGAGGCCTTATCGGGGTTCAGTCACGTATTTACTCCAGGTGGTCTCAGCAACACCTTACTCTCTCAAGGATTCCTCCGGCAAGCTACGGGGATGGCATGCCGTAGGGGAGAGGGGGAGGAGCCAACGATTGACTGGCTGGTTCCGGGTCAGGGGTCATCTAGCGGGTCAGGGGTCAACTGGCAGTCACGTCCTCCCAATGACCTCCTCAAACATTCTTCTGAAAATGCAACTTACCCCTGAATTATGATCTTCTATCTACATACTTCTCAAAAAACTAAACTGAGGCCTTCCCTGGTGGTGCAGTGGTTGAGAGTCCGCCTGCCGATGCAGGGGGACGTGGGTTCCTGCCCCGGTCCGGGAAGATCCCACATGCCGCGGAGCAGCTGGGCCCGTGAGCCATGGCCGCTGAGCTTGCGTGTCCGGAGCCTGTGCTCCGCAACGGGAGAGGCCACAACAGTGAGAGGCCCGTGTACAGAAAAAAAAAAACTAAACTGACTTCTGATACACACTGCAGCCTAAACTGAACATCACACACAAAGGTTTGAAATATTAATTTTATTAGGAAAGCATTTGATAGTTGTTTTAGATCGTATAATCAATCACTTTATTTTAAAATGATGTGGCCTGAGGATACAATTAAAATATGGACTTTTCATTCATTCAACAAATATTTGAGCATCTACAAGTGCCGGGCATTGGAGATACAGGCCAAACAGGAGGATCCCTGCTCTCACAGAGCTTACATTCTAGCAGGAGGGCAATATTAAAGAAATGCTTATACTTCTTATAAACATATAAGACACAGAAAGTGACAGAGGAAGAAGATGGTGCTCTACAAGGGCACACAACAGGTGCCTAACCCAGACCAGGGAAATCACAGAGACAAAAGATAGGTGTTTAAGTAGAAGGGAGAAGAGAACAGTTCAGGCACAGGGAACCTCGTAGACTCTAAGGGGGCAAGGACTTCGTAGGTTTAAGGAACTGGAAGAAGTCTAGAATGGGTGGAGCACCCAGTGTGAAAAGAGGAGTCAGGGAGATGAGACTGAAGAGCTGAGGATCAAGATCCATGGAGGCCATTAGGGGTTTGGCACTTCAGGGAACCAGTGAAAGAAGTAAGGAAGGAAGCAGGATGACAGATGTGCACCTTAGAATGGCCATTCTAATTCCAGAGTGATGGAGAGATTGGACTAGGTAAGACTGGATGCAGGTAGACCCCTTCTAAGGCCTGCATAAAAGACAAAAATAGTAGGGCAATTCAAGAGACAGTTAGGAGGCAAAATCAACAGAACTTGATGATTGAGTCTGAGGTTCCTTAGACCTGTTAGATAGACAGGTCTGGAGCTCAGGGGAGAACTATGTTAAGAACTGTCAACACAGGAATCATCCCCATTCAGATGGCAACTAAAACCATACGAAGGGCTGAAATGGCCCAGCGAGAATAAATCAAGCCATGTAAAACACATACATTCAAGGATGAGGAGGAATAAAACTCAGCCATAAAAAAGAATGAAATCTTGCCATTTGCAACAGCACGGATGGACCTTGAGGTCACTATGTTAAGTGAAGTAAGTCAGACAGAGAAAGACAAACACCATAAGATCTCACTTATATGTGGAATCTAAAAAACAAAACAAACAAAGCAAAACAGAAAACCAAGCTTATAGATACAAAGAACAGATTGGTGTTTGCCAGAAAGGAGAGGGGCATGGGGTGGACAGAATGAGTGTGGGGGGTCAAAAGGTACAAGCTTCCAGCTTGTCCTGGGGACGTAACGTACAGCACGGTGACTATAGTTAATACTGTACTGCATATTTGAAAGTTGCTAAGCGAGTAAATCTTAAAAGTCCTCATCACAGGAAAAAAAAAGAAAAGTCTGTAACTGTGCTTGATGATGGATGGTAACTAGACTTATTTTCGTGATCATCTGCAGTGTATATAAATATTGAATCATTATGTTGTACACCTGAAACTAATATAATGTTATATTCAATTATATCTCAATTAAAAAAAAGGAAAAAGGAAATGTGCCAGTGGTAGGGAGAAGAGAGAATGGGGAGTTATTGTTTAATAATAGAGTTTCAATTTGGGATGATGAAAAGTTCTGGAGATGGATGGTGGCAATATAAATGTACTTAATGTCACAGAACTGCACACAAAAAAGTGGTTAAAATGGTACACTTTATGTTATGTATATTTTACCACAATTATTATTTTAATAAGAATAATTAAACAATAAGGAGATACTTTTGTGCTATTTGTATCTTTCAGAATAAGAATGCATTCACATATGACTAATGAAAAATCAAGACAAATGGTAAAGGGAAGGAGGAATGAGCAGAGGAAGTGGGGCCTGCAAAGGAAACTGAACAAGAATGGCCACGGAGGCTGGTGGAAAACCTAGAGTGTTACAGCAATGGAAGCTAAGGACAGAATTTCTAGGAGGAAGTGTTTGACTGATTTGAATGCGCCAGAGAATTAAATCAGGTAAAATCGGAAAAGGACCCACTGGTTTCAGGAACATGGAGGTCAGTGGTGACCGTGGAGAGGGCTGTTGGCAGTAGAAGCCAGAAAACGAGAGGGTGAGGAAAGAACGGGTAGGAAACAGAGCCCAGAGTGCAGACAAGAAGTCTGACAACTATGGAGAGGAGGACGGTGGTGGCTGGAGGGAAAAGTAACAGATGTTTATTTTTAAAAGTACATTAAAATATCACACATAATCTGCAACGCAATCAGTTCAGTGGAAATACAACTTTATGTTAAAAATCTCAACAATACCTGGAATTTACAGATTACAGAACTTTTCATAGTACTTATGGCTTAGAAAGGATAACTCTAAGTTATTCTCTTCCTTTTCAGGGTGGTAAAGCTGAGCCATAGAAAAATTTCTCTAAGAGAATTTACAAGGAATTGAGCTGCATCAAATAAATATCTTCACTGATTCTTTATTTAAAGGTAGAAAAGTATAATGCACTGTGTTAAGAAAACAATTTTACTGTAATAGCCACATATTGAAAAAGTCTAAAATTTTAAGGCTACTAATTTATTAATTTTTGGTACATGTCCAACGGAAGATGCTTTATATTCCAATTACATCCTCAAGATACCGAAGTTAGTCTTCTGGATGGGTGCGTTGAGGGCTGCACTAAGGCTGAGACCCAGGACCAGCCTGGTGTCCACTGGATCGATAATCCCATCATCCCACAGCCTGATAAAAGAACAAAAACCGAGTGATTAGGAGTCCACCACCAAACCACCAGTTATACACCCTATGCCCAGAAATGCTGAGGAGGTTTTCCTTCAGGTAATATGTGGATCTACTGATTGGCTACTATAATCTCGCAATGGAAACAATGTTCAAGAGGGGAATAAAGAGAGAAAGAAAAATAACATGACTCTTACACAGCTTTAGGAACAGCTTACTACAAGGAACTTCAAAATAAACCCTGGTTTTATTTATTTCAGGAAAAGCTTTCCTGTCCCTCCTCCGCCCACACAAACATACAAGTCAAGTTGATATATTACTGTTATTATTATGAAGAACCGCATAAACCAAGGTAACAGTCTCCAACCAAAGTCCCTACTAGAAAAGGTATATTCCCCCAAACTCTTAAGAAACTAGGAAAATTACTGAATAGACTTCAGTACATTTTATTAATAAAATAAATGCCTTCATATGTAGTTCTTTATTTTTTGCTACAATAGGAAAAACAAGTAATGGCTTTAAACTGCTTTCAGAAGAAACTCAAGTAGAAATCTTAGTTTGCTTTTCATGGACAACCTCACATTTATAAAAAAAAAATGAGTAAGAAATATTGTTTTTTAAAGGTCATTAGTGGGTGGCAGTTTTGCTTTCTTTAAACAAACTGCCTTCAGTATCTGGACATAGCATCAATTATTAAACCATACTTACATCGACAGACCATGAATGAAATCATTGCTCATAAAATATTCACAATAGGGATCTTAAAGTATCAACAGCCAAAAAAAAAAAAAATATTACTCTTGTAGTTTGTAACCCGCTCAATTGATTACACTCCCTTCTGAAGCCTACAGCAGAGGAATATAGCAAGCACAATGGTGCCGGGGCTGTTCCAGGTAAGAGGCCCTAATCAAATGTCTGGAAAAGTTTGATTACAAAAACAACTGAGCAGAAGAAAATTGGCATGCTGTACATGTAACATGCAAGGATTAAGAAAAACATAGGCGGTTACAGCACTGTACAGATGATGACAGAGCTCTCCGAAAAGACAGGTCTAGCCATGTTAAAGCCTAAACAGACCACAGAGTTTTATTGTTAAGCTGAGCTTTATTAAACCAAAGGAAGGTGCCATAAGCTGGCTTGAAAATCCTTTCATCTTTGAAACAAAGTTGGTGTCTCCATGCCACCAACTGTTTCAACAGAAGGGTTAAACATCTATAAATTAAAAGAAAAACCTTGTTTTTCAATATTAATTTCCAAAGATAAGTCTTTCTGGGCCATATGCTCTCCTGTCTTGAATATCATCCACTGAAAACAATAATAATCTAAGTATGAAAATAATAAAGGATTCAGTCTTTCTTAAGAGATGACTTAGCCAGGGCTGAAAAACAAATTAATGGTTCACACAAAATATGCTATTTTTCAAAGTTTAATACTCTAACTGCCCTTGTGAATTTCAAAGTCTTATGTAAAAACAAACAAAAAACTATAGGTGAGCTTACAATGTATATTTTCTCTTTAACCTTTTATATGATTTTCTATTTCCTCTTTGCTTCTACTGGCTACTACGTAAGCCTATTTAAATGATGATAAAAAGAATGTTTATTTCTTAAAGACTACAAAATATTTTGTTCTTAATTAAGAGAATCAATGACCCACCACAGCAAAATATACCTGTACATTTGCTTGCAGAAATACATGTTAACAAGAAGAGAAACAGGCTTTTCAAAAATCCCAAATGGTATTAATTGAATTTTGAAACTAATTATGCTCTGAGAAATAAATATGTTCAATCTTTCCTGCCCCCCAACATCAGGAGCAGTGCCTGCCACAAAAGATGCATTTGAGGAGCTGACATGGATTTTAACGTTCGATTTTCTTTTCCCCCTCCTCTCCAGTCTGCCTTCACAACAAATGGCATAAATCACAGCATAACCCAATTTTTAAAGGACACAAATAGTTATTTTCTTTTTTCCATCTGCCCAAGGGATAAAAGAAAAACATGAAGCTTCAATTATTCTTCAGAATGTAGAACATTGAAGTTGTTGAAAAAAGAGGTATGAAAGCACACGCATGTCTCCAACGGGGACAGCTGTGATAATTTATTACCTCATTTAAGTGGTGTAAGAAACAAACAGAATAAGAACCGCCATGGTGTGTGAGGTAGTTGCTTAGTGTTGACATGTGGATCCTGGCCATGAATAATCACCTTCTGAATGCACAAGCTCACTTGTTAACAAGTGTCAGTAAGTGTTCAACCATTTTCATCTTTAAATGGGGTAAAAACAAAATCATCAGAGAGGAGGATGACAGGAACCCATTACTGCAGAACTAATTCCTGAAAGTGACACAGCCAGGACTATAATTCTCAACTTCCCAGCCCCAGTGCGGTCCACCTCTGGCCACAGTGCTCCTGCAGGCCTTGGACCACTTCAACTAGGACCGGGATAAGGGAAGGGGTGGAGAGTGGCAGAATCACACCAATAGTGATGGATCCAAAGCCCAGCCTGGGAGAAGGAGCAGCATTTCAGCGGTAAGCATTCCCATTATAGAAACAACAGTACAAAATTGTGTCCAAATGTTATTTTTTGGTTCCCATGAGGGCTGGACCATACCAACTGCTCAGATCTCTGTAAAGCTGCTGCCCTGACTGCCAAGATGTGCCCATCAAGGAGTCAGTTATTCTCTGGCTCTCACCTTGCACTGGAATAGTAAGGGTTTCCTTCCTCTTCAAACCTCTTAATGATGGGCTCTTTCAAAGTTGCTTCATCAGCACTGGAGAACTGAAAGAAAAGCGACAATGAGTAAGTCTGATGCAGGGGAACAACAGATCCACTCAAGAGAACCTCAAGAAAAAAGGGGCAACAGATTTCATGAACGATAATCTTACAACCAACAACTGCACATTGATGTATAGATTACGTGTGATGCTTTACCATACATGATCTCACCTGAGACATGAGTATCAAATTAGTGTGCTATTATATCTCCCTTATCAGAGCCAATGTCCTGAGGCTGTTTAATGTCAGGTCAAAACCAAAGGTATCACATATTCCAGCAGGGTATAGCAATGGATGTGAATTATACAATATAACAAAGGGCTATATTACATCTTGCAGTTTCTGTATAAGGAGGTGGAAAAGTAGGATATTTTCATTCAAAATAGCTAAAATTTTAAACATTTTAAAGCTTAAAGGGATAAAACAATAAGGCCCATTTTAAATAACCTCTTCAATTTTCCAGATGGCTGAGAGAGACTTTTCCCTAATTAAAAATTTAATGGCTTGCCCATCCGTACTGCCAGAAACAAGTGATAATTCAGATGTTAAAATCTTTATGCAAACTAATTTTGAAATCCTGAAAAGTATTTTCAACTTAAAAAATATTCCACACCAAAAACCAAGTGATTTTTTTTTCAAATAAATCCAACCTTTTATGTACTTCCATCGTTTAATATCACTTATAGGTCCAGAATTTGGAGGGAGAAGCACTAAAATCCTATACTTTCCTTTCACATATAAAAATAGATGAATTCATATATCTGTATATCAAATTAATCAAAACACAACTATTTAATAAGATATTGCCATGCTGGGCTAGAATTTAAGACATGCCTTCAAAGTATCAGGTAGAATTTCATATCCCCCACTCCCCACTACATACACACAAAAGTAAAACTTTCCTCTGGCTTGGATACTAGTCAGTACTAAAGTGCATCTGAAACTTCAACTTAAGTCTGCAGAGTTACTGTTGCTTGGAAAAGATAGCTGGGGATGTGAGGCACGGATGAGACACATTCAGGGAGGCAGGAACCACCCTCTGGCTTTATATTATCCCCACTCTACAAACCAGGCGGTTGACCAGATGATCAATCTCTAAATGGCAGAAGTGAGAGCCTGAGAAGGCAGGGCCTCCTCCACATTATGCCTCGTTACGATGAAACAGTGCACCTAAGCAACTTTAGGAACATGCACCAATCATTTTATAGGCCTGCTGTTTACATAAGATAGTTGTAAGTTATAATAAAATGTAATGCAAAATTTCAGATGAATCTCTAACAGAGCCACAAACGAAAGAATCCATCTCAAAAGCAGCTATTTGCTGATTTGCTTTTCATTAAGCTTCCAGTGCCCTTTCCCTCCTTCTTCATTGATACTTCCACGATATAATAATGGTATTCAATTCTCATTACACAACGGGGCCCTCCCACTAGAGGTATCCTTAACAACAATCTAAAAGTAAAATAGGAAACACAAAATTCTGCTGCTTTAGGTCATAAAATCAAAGACATAAGTCAGATTTATTTAAATCTCACTAACTGCAAATGACTAAGAATCAAACATCCTTATGCCTCAGGCACCCAGAGACAAAAGAGTTTGTTAAGTGTTTTCTTGGAGATTCTGAAAAGTTTGTAAATTACCACAAGAAGGTACTTCAAGTGAAATGGCTCTAAAAAGAGAAATGGAGAATGTATAAGTGTAAGTTGCTAAAACAATTTCCAGGTCAGCGTCTTCTAGATAAAGCCAGGCCCTGAATGTTGGAATCCTAGCCACAGACTTGGAGGGGTTTTGGGTATGCTGCTCCCTGGCTCCACAATGTTCTGGTGAAAGTCAAACCTGGAGACAAAGAAACAGCATTTACCTGTTTCCCTTCCCGTGCTCTTTGGTCCTTTGCTACTGTCGCTAGCACATTAGCTGCCTGCTCTCCTCCCATCACTGAGATGCGAGCATTTGGCCACAGGTAGAGAAATCTTGGGCTATGGGGGGAAAAAGGAAAGAATGATCAAATGAATTCACAGAGATTTTCAGAGGCCCATGTTTACCTTTTAAATCAGTGGTTCTTCATTCTGGCTGCACATTACAATTATCCGGGGATTAAAAAAAAAACAATGCCTAGAACCCACCCCAGAGTAATCTCCCGCAGTGGGGCTTCAGCATGGTAGAATTTTTAAGTTCTCCAGGTGATTCTGACGTCTCTTTTGATAAACAGTATTTTTCCATTTCATCCAAATTTACTGGGCAAAAAAGTATTCAAAATATCCTCTCATTATGTGCAGTTATGTGCTGTTTTCCATTCCTAAAATTGGTGATACGTGCCTTCTCCCTTTATTTTTTAGTTTTAACAGGGGATTCTCAAGTTTGTTAATAACCCTTTTAAACAAAGCAACTTTGGGCTTTCCTGATTCTTCTGTCTTTATAATGTTTGTACTTTATTATGTCCTGTTTTTATTTTTCTTGTTTTAATATGCTGCTCTTCTTTGAACCTCTTCAGCTGGCTGCTTGGCTCACTGATTTTCAGCCTTACTTCTCTTCCAGTATATAATATATAATTAAGTCTACACACCTGTCTCAAAGCAAGACTTTAGACACATCACATAAGTTACGACATGTAGTATTTTCATTATCAGCCATTCCAAAATATTTCCTGATTCCCACTGTGGATTTCTTCCAAGTGATACTTTTAGCATTAAATTTCATTTCACGCCTCCAGATGATACAGATTATGGTATAACTGATTAAGATTTGTGAATGTCATTCTGTATTTCAAATAGCCTTGACGTAAACTGACCATTCATAATGATCCTTGAAGTATGATTCATGCTTTCAGAGAAAATCATGACAACCACCTACCTAAATGCTCTGCCACACATCCCATAGTTTCCAGCCCCGTAAGAGCCCCCGATAATGACAGTTATCTTCGGCACATTGGCACAGGCTACGGCAGTCACCATCTTGGCGCCATCCTTGGCAATTCCTTCAGCTTCGTACTCTCTACCAACCATAAATCCTGTGAGAACAGAAAGAGAGCCTCAGGGTGATGAGATTAGTGTGCAGAAGTCATTTTCACCAAGGTGCTAGAAGGACGTCTTGCCAACCTTATATTTTACCACAGGCCTCTCACCCGAATAAAATATTTATATGTGAAATATGCCCCCCACAAATTTGCATTAAAAGGTAAAATAAAATTTTCTCTGATCATTTAAAACATTGTTTAAGTGGTTCATCTGGATGCGCACAGAGATCCTCAAACAAGATAAGAATGCAACGTATCTTCAAGAAATTATCTCAGAACAATAGCTTGGTGATGAAAGAACAGGATACGGCAAGCTGAGGAAAAAGTACTATGGCAAGCCCAACTGTGAGGGCTTTAGGATTCACTGACCTGTTTAAAATATAGATTATTCCTTCTGAAGCACTGCTTTAAAACTTTGATGAAATAAAATTAATGTTTCATAGAGATGCTGAGTCCCTGTCAGCGACTCAATAGCAAGATAAAAGAATTCTCATTATAATTATAGGATCCTTCTACTTCTCCAAGCTCCCACCCCCGGCTCTGTTGAAACTGGTCTGCAGCGTCACTGTGCTTTCCAGGCCTTGGGGTTCTTCCTCTTCACCTTATAAACGTTGCATCAGGCTTCATTTGTCTCCCTGCGCACCCACAGACGCACATGCCTACGTGATGGTCGCTGTTCTTGCTTTGCGAATCTCCATAATGGGTAATCCAATTCAATTAAACCATTTTTTATGGATCACTTGTACTTGCTGTGGATACAACAGTACGGATGTAACAAGCCCTGCCCCAACCAGGCACCATCTGCTTCCTCTGGTCACCTCCCTGCCCTCTGAACTGGGCCCTCAGAATAGCTCAGACACTCCTTTATCTATTTTATCTCGACTCCCTGTAACATTCCCACAATAGCTATCTCAAATATCGACTCTCTTTAAAAGCCCTCACCCACCACCCACCACCCTAGCACCCCACTATGCCCCTAGTCCCCGTGAGTGATTTTGCCTTGAAAAAGAATACCGAGGCCATCTCACTTGGCTTTCTCTAACCCTTCTGTTTCTCACCATAAAGAACAACATAATCATGCTGCCTTTCTTCCTTTACTCTCATCTCTGTGGAAGAAATTAGAGTTACTCAAAGATTATCCCTGAGCCCTTTCTCTTCTCTCTGGGTGTTATCTATTCCCGCAGCTTTAAACACCATCTCCATGTTCTAAGGTTGTCTCCACGTTCGCCTCCAGCTAACACACCTCTTCGGTGCTCAAGACTTTTCAACTGCCCACCATATATTTCCAAATGGATACATTTGAGGTCCCTCAAATGCAATGTTGAAAAACCAAACTCAAACTCTGCTCTCTGACCCCAACCCAACAAAAAATAAAGCACAGCGAAAATGTAGGAATCTTCCAAGCACACGGTCTAACTTACTGGTGGTTAATAAATCATAAGTCATTATTAGAAACAAGGTCTCTGGCCTAGTGAAGCTTCAGAGTACTTTTACATGCCCTCTTAGAAGGTTTGCCACATAGGGCCCTCTCTGGCTGCCACCTGGATATAACTCCTCTCAAGAGTCATCTAACCAGATATCTTAAACTTAAGAACAGCACCAGATGAAGATGTTTTAGCACCAGTACTATGTAAAGCCCTGCTGACTGCCAAGGCCAAACTCCTTCTCATAAAGGCATGCCTGATCCCAACAACTAATTAAGGACTTCTTCCTTTGAACTTGAGATAACCACACATGACTTAGAACAGTGGTGCCCAACATTTTTTGGCACCAGGGACCGGTTTCATGGAAGACAATTTTTCCACGAGTGGGGTGGCAGCGGGCGGGGGGGAAGGCTCAGGCAGTAATGTGAGCCACGGGGAGCAGCAGAGGAAGCTTCACTCCCTCGCCCACCACTCACCTCCTGCTGTGCGGCCTGGTTCCTAACAGGCCATGGATCAGTACCAGTCCGCGGCCCAGGGGTGGGAACCCCTGACTTAGAAGACGGGGAAACATTTTTTTTAGCTAATCAACATATCGGAGTGCCTCCTATCTGTCAGGCACCATGCAACACACAAAAAGTATAAATAGGAGAATCATAGAATGCCAGGAAGAAGAACTCTAGAACCCTAAGAGCCCTTAAAAATCATTTCACCTGCCATGTTAGGATCACCCATGGAACATGAAATCAGACAGTTGACATTGGTCTTATCATTCTCTGGAGTCAAAACACAAATTGCGGAACTTCCCTGGCGGTCCAGTGGTAAAGAATCTGCCTTACAATGCAGGGGACACGGGTTTGATCCCTGGTCAAGAAACTAAGATACTACATGCCAGGGCAACTAAGCCTGTGCGCCACAACTACTGAGCTCGTGTGCCTCAACTAGAGAGCCTGCATCTGCAAACTACAGAGCCCATGCACTCTGGAGCCCATGTGCCACAGAGCCTGCGCACCACAACTAGAGAGAGAAAAACCCCCGCCACAACTAGAGAGAAGCCTGCGCGCCGCAACGAAAGAGCCTGCGTGCCACAACTAAGACCCAACGCAGCCAAATATTAAATAAATAAATAAATAAATAATCTTAAAAAAAAACACCTCAAATCCCAGACTTTGGTTCAGGATGTGCATGTCCATTTAAGATGTTGCTTCAGGTAGAATTAACTGCACGATGAAAGATAAGGAAAAGGGAGGACCACAGCATGTACTTAAAATCCTTTATGGGGAACTAAGTACTGGGAAAGAGACCATGGGTCAGATAACACCCTCCAGCACTAATGAGAGTGTTACTGGCTGAGAACACTCTGCTGTTTTCTGGGTGGGTGGGTGCACATGTGCAGGAGTAAAGGAAGGCCACTCAAATGTCTGATACACTTGAAACTCAGAAATTGCTTCACTCAAAAACATGGATAAATTCCCCCAAATATTTAAGATTCTTGAATTGTTAACCTTTAAAGATGATCTAGAGAGAGCATGTCCAATAAAGCTTTCTGTTATGATGGAAGCATTCTATGTCTGCACTGTCCAATACATGAGCCATACTGGACACTGCAGCTCTTGAATAAATGCACCCAAACTGGTTAAGCTGTTTTCTTTTTCTTTTTTTTTTTTGGCTGCGTTGGGTCTTCATTGCTGCGTGCAGGGTTTCTCTAATTGCTGACAGCAGGGTCTACTCTTCGTTGCAGTACACGGGCTTCTCATCGCGGTGGCTTCTCTTGTTGCAGAGCACGGGCTCTAGGCATGCAGGCTTCAGTAGTTGAGGCATGGACTCAGTAGTTGTGGCTCGCAGGCTCTAGAGCACAGGCTCAGTAGTTGTGGTGCACGGGCTTAGTTGCTCTGTGGCATGTGGGATCTTCCCAGACCAGGGCTCGAACCCGTGTCCCCTGCATTAGCAGGCGGATTCTTAATCACTGCGAGGCCACCAGAGAAGTCCAAGCCATTTTCTTACCAGTAATGTTTTGAAGAAACAGCAGAGGGATATTCCTTTGGCAGCATAACTGGATAAAATGAGCTCCCTATAAGCAAATAAAATAAAAATCTTTTTAGTGGGAGGTTAACAAATTTAATCATCATTTACCCTGCAAGCAACACATTTGGGTCAAAGAAAGAGTACCCTTTGCTTGGCTAGTCTGACCTTATAGTAACAGTAATAATAATACTACCATGGGGACCCACTGTCAATGGAACGTGATTACAATTTGCACTGTTTTGCACAGGCACCTGTGTGATCACTGGCACATGACTGCAGGCCAACTCCTGTATCAGAGATGAAGTCAACCACTAATACTCCAAACAGCAAGTGAAACTTCAGGAACAGAGAAGAAGGAATTGCTTGTCAATGAGAATTTCTGAGCCTCACCAGAAGGCAATTCTCTGGTTCTCCACTTTAAAAAAGATAGAATATAAACCCTTCTGGGATACCTACGTTTTGATGATCACTTGAAATTCTTTCATGCACCAAGATTATAGTAAAAATATATCTTTCTTACCAACATACTTGAAATAAAGGGGATTTTTTTTTTTGGCTGCGTTGGGTCTTCATTGCTGCGCGTGGGCTTTCTCTAGTTACGGCAAGCGAGGGTTACTCTTCGTTGTGGTGCGCAAGCTTCTGATTGCGGTGGCTGCTCTTGTTGCAGAGCACAGGCTCTAGGTGTGCGGGCTTCAGTAGTTGTGGCTCGCGGGCTCTAGAGCGCAGGCTCAGTAGTTGTGGCACACGGGCTTAGTTGTTCCGTGGCATGTGGGATTTTCCCAGACCAGGGCTCGAACCCGCGTCCGCTGCATTGGAAGGCAGATTCTTAACTACTGTGCCACCAGGGAAGCCCAAATGGGATGTTAGATGAGTGCTAGACACCTTTTAACCTTGAGTTTAGGAAATTAGTTATTTAATGACACAAAAATATAACTATTCCAGGGGCTTCCCTGGTGGCACAGTGGTTGAGAGTCCGCCTGCCGATGCAGGGGACACGGGTTCATGCCCCGGTCTGGGAAGATCCCACATGCCGCGGAGCAGCTGGGCCCGTGAGCCATGGCCGCTGAGCCTGCGCGTCCAGAGCCTGTGCTCCGCAACGGGAGAGGCCACAACAGTGAGAGGCCCACGTACCGCCAAAAAAAAAAAAAAAAAAAATATATATATATATATATATATATATAACTATTCCTTTCCCTATCTTCTAAAGATTATGTGAGTAAGAGAACACTTAAAGCTGTTTCCTTTATATTTTACTCTCTATTTGCAGATGCCTTTAACTTAGCTGGAAATGCCTTGGCAAGTACAAGATTGCAGAGCAATTGCTCGACCTCAAATACGAGAACGAGGAAATCACACAGACTTGTGGGGCTTACCTCAACAAATGAAATGTCAGACAGAGGCCAAACATAGCTCTCCTCCTGTATTTATCTGTGACAAGCCAACAAATAAAACAAGGCGGTGTTTGTTGGCCTCAGTCTGACATACCTTCTATTGAAATAAGCATATTATATAGTCATTAAAAGTCAGTGTATTAGGGGCTTCCCTGGTGGCTCAGTGGTTAAGAATCCACCTGCCAATGCAGGGGACACGGGTTCGAGCCCTGGTCCGGGAAGATCCCACATGCCACGGAGCAAATAAGCCTGTGCGCCACAACAATTGAGCCTGCGCCCTAGGGCCCACGAGCCACTACTGAAGTCCGCACGCCTAGAGCCCATGCTCCGCAACAAGAGAAGCCACCGCAATGAGAAGCCCGCACACCGCAACGAACAGTGGCCCCCACTCACCGCAACTAGAGAAAGCCTGCACTCAGCAACAAAGACCCAATGCAGCCAAAAATAAATAAATTAAATAAATTTAAAAAAAAAGTCAGTGCATTAGAAATATTTAATATTTTGGAAACGCTCGCTATACATACTATTAAGTGAAAACCAGCAAAACTTCCCTATATATGGCAAAACCAATTTTGTTTAAAAAAAGAGGAGGAATAGAAAAAACTAAGGAACCATAATAAAATGTTACTCAAGGTTATTTCTGGCATGAATGTAGGTGACTTTTATTTTCTTTATTTTTACTCTCTTATTTTCGTCTTATAATCTCAGTGGGGGAACAATAATGAATAGCAAAATCCAGAAACTAACTTTACTAATAAAACATTCTGCCAAAGACAAATTCTTCCTAATTAGGGTATGAAAGTGCTTAATTGCCTGTTACCTGCCTCAGTAAGAGAACGTTTACCTTGTTATTCACTCTATCATTTGAAGAGGAAAAACAGGGCTAAACTTTTTTATTTTCTTAAGAAAATATTTTATCAAATAAGTACATGAATTACATTTATCCAAGTTTAGGTAAATCTGAGACAATGATGTATGAAATTGAATACTAAGCCAAAATATATTCATGAATTCCCTCTTTTAAAACCAGAGCTTCAGTAACAAGACCCACTATCTTTCTGTTTCCAAAAAAGTGAAAATATAATCAAGTTAAACTGATTATGGGATAGGATAGAGCAGGTCATGTCTCAGAACCATATGAACAGTATGTTTGAACCCCTCGAATGCATGAAACACTTTCAAGACAAGTATTCCTGTATTCTTAGAAAATGTATACATCATCCACAGCAGTTATAATTCAAGTATTAAAAGGACTTTCCTAAAACAAACATTTGTATTTTTAACAGTGCTCAAGACAGTTCATCATATTCACGTAAACCTCCCTAAAGCTGTTTCAAACATTTAACACGAGTACACATACATGTTCACACGTAGAGGCACACAATGTTCTGTTTGCTAAGGCATCTGGTTAAATATTTTAAAGATTTTATGCAATAATTTTCATTCATTACTTGATAATGTTTAAATTAAAACAGAAAAACCTTGAAACATTTTTAACAGTACTTGCCTTTTTTGCAGATTCAGAAAAGAGAACTCCATTGTTTCCAACGATACCTACTGGGTATCCAAATATTCTAGCAAATCCTCAAAAGAAAATTGAAAAAAATATGTATATATTTCAGAGGGCTTTTAATTCACAACGAACAGACATATTTATACATTGTTTAATTTCAAATCAATGTTTAAAATGTAGAGATTTCATCTATGGTACAAAATAGCTCATGGCATAATTTATTTCTAAGGTACTGGAGTCTGGGTTTTTTGCTTTCTTGAAAGGGGTGTGTTACATATAAAGTTATCCACTTGTCTGACCAACCAGTTTGGTTAGATGATTGGATTAGTGTCATCCGTTCATTCATGTAACATATATGAGTGCCTACTATGTACCAGACACGAAGGGTATTCTGATACAGAACAAATCAGACACAGATCCCTTTAAAGGTCAATGTTCAGAGCCATCGGCCAGTTTCAGGTGACTAGCTTGCCTTAAAACGCCTGAGGTAATGACAGGCCCTTGAAATAAAAGGGATAAACTCAGCAAAGACAAACTTTTTTAAAAAGCAGGAATGCAGTCAAGCCTGGTGGTAACCGAGTTTAAGGTAAGAAATCCAGTTAAGCTTAGAAGAATAAATCACTACACTTTCATTTTCTCTGTGTTTGCATCTTTTTCTTTCTCCTTTCCACAAGTTTGGTTTTTGTCTCAATATCACTTCCACTACCACTCCACACACACACACACATACACATACACACACACACACACACACACACACACACACACACACACACGAGAAATAAGAGAGAAGAAAAAGGGGGAAGAAAACCCTGTTATTTTGTGAAGTAGACACTTTAGGTGATTCCAGGAGGCTATTTTGTAAATATGAAGGACGTGACTAGAGACATTCCCAAGAGTGATTTTCAGGTGTCAAATACTTGGAAGCCAAGTGTCAACAAACTGTGCTTGTGAGAGGGGTCACAGGAAGCTCAATGCCAAAGTTCCTGGACCAGGCTCTGTGTCCAAGCTCAAGCTCGGACAGGCTGCCACTAAGACCCCTGGCGTGGGCCGCCCAACACAAAGCAGGTGCTCGAAGAATGAATGGATAAGAGAGAATGTCAACCTACTGACAAGCCAGAACACCGAATTTTTTAACTTACTTTTGTTCTTTACTCTGGCTTTGTCTTGATTTATGTTTTAAAATCCTTATGTTTATTTAATATGTTAAAATGAAACACTGATTTGCTGGTCACCTTGATTTCTCTTGGTCTTTCAGACCTACAATCCCAGCCCAAACCCTAGGCTACACACCCTAAATGGCACTGCCACTTACAGAGGCAATTCAGAAAGGGGCAAACCTCCCCAAAGTTCTAACAATCCACCCTGAGTCCTGACCCATCCCATAAAAAGAGCTGGGAATCCAGCACGTGTCTCAGCAGCACGGTGCTACTCCTGAAGGTGTTCTGCCCTGTGAGCTGTTTAAACTTTCCATCCACCCTTAGTCCTGCTGAGTAGGGCGCATGCCCCACTACACTAGGGTCACCCATGGAGGGAGCACCTTCACCAACATCCTATCGGCCAAACAAGAAAGCAAAATGTCTACGAAACTCCTAGGCCTACCTATGGCAAGTGCGGGGGGCAGGAGGAAAGCTGTAAGAACTGCCAGAGACACCTGATCCTTACAAAAATCTGTCCTTCTCCCTCCTCACTCCCACTCATGGCCCCCCGCATTCATCCCTCCCTCCTCCTTTCATGCCCCCTCCCCCTCATACCCCCTTTCATCCTCTCTTACTACCTCCTCACCCTCTCATTCCCCCTTCGCCCTCTCATTCCTCTCTTCTCCCTCTCACTGCCCCCCGCCCACCCAAACCTTATTTGAATTCCAGTACAGACAAGAAGAGATGGAGATCTACCAGCTGGTAGATCTACCCCTGGTATTTTAGGGAGCAAAGGTACCACAAGTATTTTAGCAAGTCCAGGGCAAATACATAAAAACAGATGACAAAGCCCACCCATCCATCTCTGAGAAAGAAGCAGAAACAGTTCTGACTTGTTTTAAACGGCTGCACAATGAGGGTTACATCCTGAACTATTTGGGGACAAATCCTGTCTATATATCAAAGAAAAAGCTCTTAATCACTTAAACACCTAAATACAAACACATAAATTCCACTTCCAGTGTGAACCCTTCTCTTGCTCATAAATCAGACCAGGAGAAACTGCTGTGACTTATCCTTGAGACTCAATGTATATTTGCAATTTGGATTTTTGCAGCTAGTTGTTTGTCCTACTCTGGTATGCTGTCTTCAGATTAACTACTACATTTTGGAGCTTCTTTAAGACCAAGTAAAATGCCCAAATTTGTTTTGCCATTTGTCCAAAATAGATTACTATGGACCTGGTGTCTATGTTTCAAATATTTCTTCAAAGGCCTACGAACATAACAGTTTTAGGTGAATGAATTAACTTTTATAAACGTTCTTATTTTGTTTCTTCAGACTTGGTATTCTGTCCTGTATTCTCAATCTAGTCTCTGTGTGGATCAACGTAAGACCTACACAGAGGCGGTGAGAAGGTTTAACTCAGTCTACAGTCTTCTGGGAAACTAAAACATCACACGAAACTTCACAGTCGAATTGAAGACTAAAGAATAAAGAAGACAGTGCTGAAATTTTCAAAATAATTAGAGTCATCCAGAGAAATTTTAAAAACTACAAATATTTTTGTTAATTTTACGATGATAAGAGCCTTTTTACACAGCTAATGCTACAAAGTCACAGAATAATGGTCTGGACCAGAGCATCTTGCCCTTATCATTTTAAATTCTGGATCCATGAAGGCATTCAACTACAAGTGATCTTTACAAAACAGCTCCTTTTGAGTACTGACTCACACGTTTATACCGCTCTAAATAACAAAGCTCATGCCAAGTGCATCAGGGCCGTGAGACAAGAGATCACTTATTTTCAAAGCAGCATAAAACGTTCACATTTTCAGTTCTTCATCTTTATACCTGTAACTAATGTGTCTCCATATAAGGCTTTAAATTCATTGAATCTGCTTCCATCCACGATTCTAGCAATGACCTAAGGAAAAATAACAATGTCCCTGAGCAATTATATTATAAAAGAATATTTGCATTCAACTTATTTGTAAGGAAAACAAATTTGTAATGAAGTTGTCACTTTCACAAAATTTCACCGTACTCAGAAAATCTTCTCAATAGAATTTCACTTGATATGCATGGTTAATGCCCTGAAGTCATTCTTGGCCCTGATTTTATACTTTACTATAAAAGCAACAGCTCCATGCTGTATACCAGAGAAGCACAGAGACTACATGGGCTGGTTGCTAGACTCACAGCTTCAGGGGCTGTCAAATGTATTGGCCAAGAGTCAGGGATTCAATCAGAAAGCAAGGTCCTACTACATGTCACAGGGAATCATACTCAATATTTTGTAATAACCTATAAGGGAAAAGAATCTGAAAAAGAATATATATAAAACTGAATCACTGTGCTGTACACCTGAAGTTAACACAACATTGTAAATCAACTATACTTTAATTAAAAGAGTTATTAAGGAAAAAACAAGAAGAAAGAAAGCAAGGTCCAGCCTTACAGTCAGAAGACTTAGGCTCCAATCTAGGGTATAACATATGATTTATTGATTTATGTGTCCTAGAGTAAGGCATTTAACCCCTCTGAGTCTCGGTTCTCACTTCTGCAAAGATGGAACAAAGTTGTGAAGATATGATGAACTAGTAATAAAGGAACCTAAGAAAATAATGCTGAGATGAAGAACCAGCTCTGACTCCCAGCTTCTCCCAGCTCTACCACTGGGAAACTAGAGTCACAGCCTGGTTACTTAAAATCCCTGAAGCCTCAGTTTCCTCATCTGTTTAAAAAAAAAAAGTAATAACAATAATAATAATACTTAAGAGCTAATAACATTGCCTGGTACTCATCAAAAGGTAGCTATTATTATTAAGCCTTCAATAAAGGTTCATTGATTCTGAATCTGATACACATACACACACACACACACACACACACACATATAATTAATCTACACAAAGTTACTAGCTTATCCTCCATATTCATCATTATACATCAGGACTATTTCAAAGTGTTCTAAACATGAAGCATATTCCACATTTTTTCAGAAACTATTTTAGATGCTACACATCATTTTTTCTATCCAGTTTGAGCTTCCTTTTTCCTGTTTACCACATCAATCAAAGCCTTATTTTATACGCTGCAAAGGCCGAAAAATGAGTGAATAGCTTACTTTGAATTATGTTTTAGCTACTTTCCTAAAAGGTCAAATAATAATGGGGATATAACAGTTGTCTAAAGTGCTATGTGGCTCCAAAATTACACCTGTTGAAAAACAAACACATAGTGACGACCACTCTTCCATACAAAGATGAAGCCACTCAAAAGGTCAGAGCAGCCTAGGGCCACTTAACGTGAACCCCCTTCTATTTGCTTTACGATGAAGTCCACTCAGCCACATAAAATACACTAACTCATCTGCACAAAGACTCAAACTTTAGGAAGCAGACATATCATACGGCACTACTCCTATTTCTAGGAGCAGAAATCAATGCTCAGAGAGGTTCAACCCCAGTACCCCTGACTAGGGAAACAAGAACTAGAACCTGGGTTTTTTTTTTTTTTTTTTTTTTTTGCGGTACGCGGGCCTCTCACTGTTATGGCCTCTCCCGCTGCCGAGCACAGGCTCCGGAAGCACAGGCTCAGCGGCCATGGCTCACGGGCCCAGCCGCTCCGCGGCACGTGGTATCTTCCCAGACCGGGGCACGAACCCGCGTCCCCTGCATCTGCAGGCGGACTCTCAACCACTGCGCCAGCAGGGAAGCCCTAGAACCTGGGTTTTTCAATTAATATCTCAATGTTGTCCCACAGCTCCATATACTAGTAAGACCTCCATACAAGGCTTATTTGCAATTACAGAAAAATATAATAAATTAACATCACAATGATGAACATGAATCAGCAAAAGGTAGAAGTCCAGGATACAATTTAAGAAGGCAGAAGTCTATCTTTATAAAAAGATATCCATTAAAATGAAATTGAACTACTATGAAGGCATGGATTCACATCTGTTTTGCTCATTTCTGTACCCCTAGTGCCTGAAACAATACCTTCATGGAAAAAGCACTCAATAAATACTGTGGAATAAATGAAAAAAGTGATTATGCTTGAAAGAATGAATCCTTAGCCACCTAGAAAACTTGACTATTAGAACAACTCATTTTTCAGGCACATCAGATTGTAAGTGCCAGTTTTTTCTATGCCTGTAATTAATTAAAAAGTCAAGCTGAAAACCTAATTCTAGGGGCTTCCCTGGTGGTGCAGTGGTTGAGAGTCCGCCTGCTGGTGCAGGAGACACGGGTTCGTGCCCTGGTCCGGGAGGATCCTACATGCCGCGGAGCGGCTAGGCCTGTGAGCCACGGCCGCTGAGCCTGCGCGTCCAGAGCCTCTGCTCCGCAACGGGAGAGGTCACGACAGTGAGAGGCCCGCGTACCGCAAAAAAAAAAAAAAAACCTAATTCTAAAACTTATAGTTAACTAAATTACCTTGCTAAAGTGAAGTACCAGTTGAAGCTCCATTAAAATCCAGCACTTAAGACCCTCTAACAATAAGAGGGTATTGCCTAAAGAAATATTTGTACATATCCATAAGTGGGATATTACACTCATCAATTCATCCAAAAAAATATTTACTGAGTGCCTACCATGTCACCAGGTACTAGTATAAGAATCAGGACCTAACCACAAAAAAACATTCATGAAGAAGTTTTAAATAATGGGGAGATGTTTATAATTTAAACTGGAAAAATTAGAATTAAATATATATATATATATCAATATATGTATGTATGTATATACTATCTGAACTACATAAAAATGTATACATACACACTAAGCCAAAACACCAAAATATTGGCTGCTTTCTCTGCATGGTATAATTACAAGCAATTTTATGTTTTTCTGTATTTTCTATATTTTTCACAGTTAGTACATAATAGTTTTATAGTCAAGGGGAAACATAACAAAATATTAAGGCACAGAATCTGATATTAGGACAGTTTCCTAATTTAGAAAGTATCCTACCAGATATGGATACTGAACAAAATAAAAGACTACATGCTATATGCAAGCACTAAAAATTGTCAATCTAAACTACAGAAGACAATCTGTAACCATAGCAACATCTTCAACTGCAATCAAATGTCTAATCTTTGCTCCTGTCATATTGATCTAAAAGAGTATGTTTTTTCCTTTGAACAACTTACTGACATTTCATCCATTTCCCAAAATAAGAACCCAAAAAAGAAATAGCTGGAAATTATAAAGTTGTGCTACATCATTCCTAATGTCCACAGGAATATGGAGTACTAAATATGGACAAAGCAAGCTTAGTCATCGTGCAATGAAAACTTTCCAGTAATTAAGAGGTTTCCCCCCCTCTCTCTTTTAGTAAGATATCTTTCCCTTATATGTCACTCCTTACTGAGACCCACAACAGTCCCTTAGTTTAGGGATGAACATATCTAAAACAGACTTCAGCTCTGAAAATGGATACACACAGCTTGCAGTTCAAACAAAGTTTAAACACATGGCATAAACTATGATAGCATAGCTTACGGCTCACAGTTCCACTTTACACACCTCTCGGACATCAAAGTTCCGCTTAAGGTTGGCACCAACTATTCCATACAATTCATCAGCAGGAAATAAAGGATCTTCAGAAGGTTCAATGGTAACCTGCAGAAATATACAACAATCACATTAGCCTATTTAAAGACATTATTTCAAGGTGACATAAGCCAAAATGCTTTGGGAAAATAAAAAATATAAGAAGAGATCCAACTCACATCCATTTTCTTCTGATAATTTAGATTCCTTACAATCTTCCTAGCTAAGTGAAGGGCATGATTATCATCCAAAGCGTAGTAGTCACTTACTCCAGACTTTCTACAGAGTAAAGCACACTAAAAGAATCAGAACAGGGAAAAGGAAAATAATTAAATATCTTAAACCCCAAGTATCTTCTCTCATCTAAGGATGACGTCTTTTTACTTCCAAAACACTTTAATAACTGTCATCTAATTTGATCTTCATAACGTCCCTGGCAAAACAGTATTAACCTTGTTTTACAAACAGGAAAAACTGGGGTACACAAAAGTTAAGTACCTTGTCCTAGGACCACCAGTACCTGCATAAGAACCCACACCTTCTATTTTTCAATCTTGACCTTCTTCTACTGGACCACAGGGCCTTATTTAATGCTCATCCCGTACACCTCAGACAAAATCGTATATGATAGATAAAGTTCAACCACAGCTGGCACGCTTTCGTGATGTAGTTGGTGACAAAAATTGTTTATACCTCTCATTTCTGAGAGACTGCTGAGGCCTTCCTTACCACGTTACACCCCAAGAGTAAGCTGCTGCAGGTAGCACACACGAAGGCTTGAAAATGCTGTTCCTCAGATCAATGGTGAAAATGGGTATTGATAATATGGAACTGTGGTAAGGGCCTGCTCAATTTCAAGTTCAACGTGAATAAAGCATGGGCGTGCTCTGGTTCCAATTAGATGGCTTGTTGTTTCACTTGTAGATGTACTATGACTTTCTAATAAAGTATTAAAAAAAAA